CCACCCTGCGCGTGGCCCCAGACAGTCGCCGCTGCGCACCGCAGGGGCCGGGCTGCTGCAGTGCTCAGCAGGGGCCCGGCACACACCGGGCTCTGCACAGCCCTCCTGCCCTGCAGGAAAGCACTTTGCGCTCAGCTGGTGGCTGGGAGGCAACAGCAGAGCTAAATGAGGGGGGTGGGGCAGACATGGAGGCTCTAATGGCAGGGCTAGTGCTGGGGGGCTCTGGAGCTGGGGAGGCTTTTGGGGGAGCAGGGCTGACATTGAAAGGGCACCCTGACATCCAAAATAGGGAGCTGGTTCTGGGGGTGGAGCTAGTAGTGAAGGAGCTAGCGGGGGCAGGGCTGGCACCTGGGACAGAGCTAATATTGGGGACTGGGGCCGGCATGGAGGGACCTGGGGGGATTGGGTGCAGTGGGGTCCAGGGTCAGTGGCTGGTGGGGGTAATAGAGGGGTGAGGGGCTCTAGGGGTTGGGGCTGGCACTGGAGGCTCTGAGGTCTGCGGCTTTTTATACTGCGGACTGGCAAACCTATTCTCAAACTTTTGGCAGACCAATAACATTTTATTTGAATATTCATTATTTGCATAATAAATATGCAAATAAAATGTTACTGGCCTGCCAAAAGTTCGTGACTGGGTTTGCTGTTCCCCGGTATAGAAAAGGTTGGGAACCACTGTAGTAACGGACAGGTTCCCTCCCCCGGTCCACCCGGAGTTTCAGGCCAAATTGTGCGATCGCACCATCCAGGGATGGCCTGCAGGCCAGGAATTTGAGACCTCTGGGCTACAATTTAAAGAAGAATGAAAGTTTGGATTCTGCAGAAACTGATGCTATTGATCCTTCCACTGTCCTGGAAGAGCTCCCTGCTTTTCAGGGATGAATGGAATTAAATTCAAGCCCTAGATCTAATAATACTGAAAGAATTAAATAACACATTCACATGTAATACAGCTCCCTATAAAGTGGGAAGAACAGTTACAGAGCAGCAGAAGGGGGGATAGATAAAGGCAGGAGACTGGGGCGGAAAGAGGTTTCCAGGTGAGACCTGAAAGGAAAAGGAGTCAGTGAAGCAGATTGTTACAGGCCGGCTGTTCCAGACAACAGGAGCGCCTGCGAAAATGGTTCCACAGTGGGACAGGCAGAAAGATGCCTGTGCATTGTACTTCCCTTTTGTTATTGTTCTTCAATCCCTGCTGACTTTCCTCTACAGGAGGAGATTCATGAGATAAAGGAAGAAGGGAATCTTGAGGAACTCTTTACCTCCATGGATAAAATTGTGGAGGGAGCAAAGAAGCGAGAGGAGCCTGCATGGTAAGCAGCGCTTTACTCGGCATGTTGGATGGGGTTTATTGGTGACTTCTTAAAGAGGTAACATTGAGAATTGTGCAGCACTGAAACCCTGTAGAAGTTAAGGGGTGCGTAGTTCCAGCGATGACTCTAGACAGCACTGAATTTCACCCAAATGGAATCCTTTTAAATCATACAGCTGTATCCTGACAAGAACATGATTCCCAAAAGGCCCCTTCCAGTTAATCAAATCTATAACTTGGTCATCTGGTTGGACCTCTGTTTGTGTCAGAATCACATGTTCTCGACCATGTTCCTAGAGTTGAAGGGGAAGTAAATTCTTGCGCTGAATGTTACTCTGAACTGTGGCTTCTTGGGGTGTCCTGATCTGTTGAAACACACACGGTGGCTGTGTCTAGACTGGCAAGTTTTTCCGCAAAATCAAATGATTTTGCGGAAAAACTTGCCAGCTGTCTACACTGGCTGTTTGAATTTCCGCAAGAACACTGACGATCTCATGTAAGATCGTCAGTGTTCTTGTGGAAATACTGTGCTGCTCCCGTTCGGGCAAAAGCCCTCTTGTGCAAATGATTTGCGCAAGAGGGCCACTGTAAACAGCACAGTACTTTTTTCCACAAAAAAGCCCCGATCGCGAAAATGGCGATCGGGGCTTTTTTGCGGAAAACCGCGTCTAGATTGGCCATGGATGCTTTTCTGCAAAAAGTGCTTTTGCGGAAAAGCATCCTGCCAATCTAGACGTGCTTTTCTGAAAATGCTTTTAACGGAAAACTTTTCTGTTTTTGGAAAATCATGCCAGTGTAGACGTAGCCGGTATGTAATCCTTGGGACTCCTGGGCATTGGAAGTGCTAGGAGTCGCAGCGTGTTGTCTTTTTGCCAATGTTTGTAGCTTTTTGTATTGGTGGGGGTGTTAATCCAATCTCGTGCTTCAGGGCATCATCTGATTGCACGAGTGTCAGGAAGGATTCCTTCCCTCGCCCTCCCATCACGGCATAGTGACGCATGCCCATTTGAAACATGTAGCGTTGGCACTGCCAGAGATAGGAGGCTGGACTTGAGGGCCTGATCAGTGACATGTTCCAGTTCAAGCCCGTAAGCGTAGCACTATGGAACGTCGGCACCTCCCAGTTCTCACAACACCCGTGTCCTTTCCAGGCGCCCCAGTGGGATCCCGGAGGAAGACATTCGTAGCGCCATGGTGCCGTACCTCCTGAAGCACCAGTCATACCTGCGTAAAGCCCTGAAAGAAAAGGAAGAGGAGAACAGGAAACTGGCAGAGTCTGTATTGGCCGGCCGGGAGAGAATCTCAGAGCTGCAGCAGCAGATACAAAGTCGCAAACAAGCATGGCTGGTAAAATCTTCATTCCAAAGCCAACGCACTGAGTGAGAGTCCCTGTCCCACCAGTTTGAACAGTCACTGTGGGATGGAAAGTGCCAAGAATGCTAGCTGCAGCTGAACGGCACTTAACTTATGTGCACAAATCCGAGGGCCCCAGCTTAGTTCCATTGTGCTGCCTCTTTTGCTGCTTTGATTAATTGCATGTCCGCTAATTGCCTAATTCTGTAAATTGCCAACATCCCATGCTGAGGGCTCAATGGCTAATCACGCCTCTGCCATGAAGAGCCAGGAAACCCACGAGATTTTGCTTATTCGTGGAACTTCTTTCCTAATTTACCAATCGAGTAGTCGATAAATTTTTTATCTATTGCCAAAGGTGGGCAATCATTTTTGATGGGTGGCCATGGCAAGATTTTAGGTAAGTGGTCAAGAGCCACACCTTTCCATGGAGAAAGTGCGGGGCATGGGACAGAGGTTGGGTACAGAAGGAAGCTTGAGGTAGGGGACTGGGCTGCAGGAGAGAGTTGGGTCTGAGAGGGAGTATGGTTGAAAGGGGGGGTTGTGACCTGGGGCAGAGGATTGGGGTGCAGGGTCCAGGATAAAGATGTTAAATTTAGATTAATCAACTCATTGAATAGTTGATACAATTTGCATCGACTATTCAGTTAGTCGATAAGGGCACCTCCACCTTTGAAGTGAAGTAAGAGGCCTGCCAGCTCTTGCTACATTTCAAAGGTGGCAGCACCATGCGGCGCATGGGACCAGCGGGGGCAGGGAGAGGGCTCAAGCGGTCCCCCGCTGGCCCCGTACTCCCCATGCACTTTGCTTTTGAAATGTACAAGAGCCCCCGCTGAGCCCCTAAGTTCCCCCCTCTCCCGACGATGCTGGGGAGAACCAGCTTTTAAGCCAGCTCCCCACAGCATCGGCTCCTGCTCCCCACTTGCTGCCTCTCTCTGATAGAAGCAGCAAGGGGGACAGGAAAGCGACTAGTCAAGCTGACTGATAAGCATATGCTTATCGGATAGTTGACTAGTCACTTACAGGCCTCATCCAGGGGTGGCTATGAGTGTAGGAGTGGATTAGGGATGTTAAAATGAGGTTAAATTACTAAATGAGTAGTCAATAAAATTCGTATCAATTAGTCGATAGGGGAAGGCAACCCAGCTCAGTCACAGCTCGCACCAGGTCCAGGACCAAATCCTGCTGCAGCTCCACAATTTAAAAGGCAGTAGGAGCCAGGCAGCCTGACCCCTTCCCCCCCGTTTACTACTGTGTTTTAAATTGCAGAGCTGCAGTTGGGTGTGATCCTGGACCCAGCATGAGCCAGGACTGACCTGGGCTGCCTGCACATCCCACTCCTACTATGTTTTAATGCAGAGCTGCAGCGTGCCTAACTGGGAGCTAAATATTCCCTGGAAAATCATCCCTAAATGCTTAACTCTGCTTGTGTGCATTTACAGTGGGGTTTGGATTAGACCCACATCTGTGCTCATAAGTGGAGTGTTTTGCCTAGGACAGGCAGTTCCTTCCCGTTTGGGGCCTTGTTTTACTTGCTGCTCCTGGATCAATGCTTATGAACAATGAACGAGCTGTATTCTGCACATGCTGTTAACAGTGTTATGTTGTCCTGTCTCCAAGGGTGGAAACGATGCTCTCTTTTGCATGAGGGCTGCATTTGTTTCCTGAACAGTAGGATTCGTGGAGGAGAAAGACTTCATCGTCTTTTTTTTTTCTTTTTTCTTCCTCCTCTTCTCCTCTCAGGCAATTACTAAAGAACAGAGAGAACTAATCATGACATTCCAGGAGCCCGAATGAGGAGGCAGGGGAAGATTTTGCACGAGTTTCACAAAGGGGTTTTATGTTCATCGATGAAGCTCTGCCGATCTTTTGGGAAGCGGGATTCTCTGTGCATTGCATAACCCACTCATATCGTGCTGAAATCTTGACTTGTGCCGAGCCTTTGCATTCATTTGTCAGAATGGAGTGAACTGTTTTCAACACTGTGAAGATCAGACATTCTGAAACAGTCACGGGAAATAATGGATCAAAATATGCTGAAATGAGCAAGTGCACCAGGATTTTTAGCCCCCGTTTTCCCCATTAAACTCCACTGGAAGCGAGGGTCTCAAACAGGTCTCGAAAGTGATAGCCGATCTGTGCATTTGCCCTGTGTTCTTGTAAGAGCTTTATGAAACAGGGAATTCTCGCTTTGCAAATGTTAATGAATGGAGGGTTTTTAATACTGAGCACTCTTGTGACCGCTCATGAGATTTCAGGAGTATAATAGAGTCCATTCTAGGTACCTTACCCAGCAAGTTAAACACAGCTACATTTGAAGGAAAGAGACAAATATCAAAACTTTGGTTCATGTGATTTCTATCTGGCTAGATGTTGAGGCGAGTGCTCAAAGCATTGATAGAGGTGTTCCCAGGAGATAGGTTTTGGATGACTTGTACATAGGTATTTAGAATGGTATTTTGACATAGTAAAACTTTTTTGTAGCCTTAGCACTTTTATTTTTTTTACAAGCACTTTCCAATAAGCAGAATAAACTCCTATGTAGTAGTTGTCACCCTGTATCGTATGGTTAATTTCCATCTGTCGTCTCTGCAGAAATTTAACTGGAACGCTTTGCCACAAGGTGTATTGGGAGTCTTGTCTTCCAGGAGCCTAGATGGAAAGACCTGATTCTGTCGTGCTATAGTTACACCTGTGCAATTGGGGGTGAAATGTATTGTTCGGACTTAGTGCAGGGTGAGCGTAAAACACAAAGCTCATGCGCTTCCCTGTTCGACAGGGAAACAGAGGCACATAAAGAGAAGGCGACTTGCCCCGCAGTGCACAGGTCTCTGGACAATGGGAGTAGAAGCCAGTTGTGTTGGCACCCAGCACCTGCTTGGGATCACTGCACTGTGGTATTCGAGAGCAATGCGGATTAAAACACAGGACTGGATTCGGGGCATCTGAGCTCAGTTCTTGTCTCTGCTGCATCGCTCTGGCATGACCAGGGCCTCCTTACCCATATTCATGGGGCACCACTGGGTCTTAATGCCCCCCTCCCATCTCTTTAGACTGGGAGCTCCTCAAAGCAGGGCTTGTATTGTATTGTGTGCTAGCTTCCTTGGGCAGTGGGCTCTAGATGCTAGTTGGGATCCTTATGTGCAAATACTGTTGTTTCGAATGGACACACGACTGGCAAGTCCCAGCAGCCATCAGGCTGCCTCCTATCTGTGGGTTATGACCCTATCTAGTAAAGCTTTTTCCTGACTGATGTTTCTGGGGCCTTCCCAATTTGCACTCTTAACTCAAAGCCCAGCAAGTAAAACACAGCTACGTTGAAATGACGTCCGCAAAGGGCCGCTGAGCCCGCTCCAGTACCAAAATAATCCTGGAAACAGGCAATGGGTTTACTGTACCCAAATGTTAGTTCCTGCAGGAGTGAGGCCCAGTAGCAGTGACTGCCCAAATTAGGTTTGTTTTTCCGCAAACAAAGCTTGTCTTGCTGCATTATAATCTAAATAGACCAGGCCTTGGTTTGGACATGGTGCACTTGGCCCAAGCCCTCTGTGGTTTATGGCTTTGTATGACAGCCTCTGGCTGCCTTAAGCTGCCCGCAGCATCTCTCCCCCGCCCTAAAGTCCCAGGTCTTCCTCCAGCCAGTGCTGGGGTTGGAAGTGGTTAGGATGTGGAAGTGAACGCTGGCCTGAGAAACAGATGAATCCGAACAAGCCACTTTCCATGCCAAGCCAGCCATGAACTCCATGCCCTCTTGCTGCAGTTGTGCCTAGGCTGAGAACGGGGGCAGAGTGGGTTTAAACAGCCCTGCACATTAGCTCAAGAGGAGTAAATGGTGAAGATGAAGGATAAAGAGTTCCTGCTTTACTGCAGCACATCACCCTGGTTAAAACATGTCCAGCCAGCTCAGTACATCCCAGGCCCATCAACAAAGAGCTTAAAGTGAAACCCATCAGCCAAATATGGCCCTGGGAGGATTGGCCCAGCCTTGTTTTCCCACAATCCCTTGTGCCTTTTTCTACACACACCCTGCTTCACTTTCCTTGTCCACGTGCCCTGAGCCATTCCAGGCACTTTCCCTGATGTTCCCTGAGAGTCGGCAACGCTTACCTTTAGGTGGGATTTTTCAAAAGCCCTGACTGGGCTTTGGCCTGGTCTGTGCTTCAAAACTAGCTTGACCCAGTTTCGTGCGCAGGGCTGTGAAAAATGTTGCCCCCTGTGTGATGTGGTGATGTCAGCCTGACGCTGGGCACAGACAGGGTTCGGTTGCTGGAAGAATTCTCCTAGGCAACGTCCACACTGGCCAGTCTTGCACAAGAATGTATGCAAATGAGGCACGGCGATGAATATGGCCGTGCCTCATTTGCAAACTTAATGAGCTGCCATTTTAGCGCAAGGGGCTTATTTTCAGGCAGAATGGCTCTTGCGAAAGGGGGGTTTTGCGCAAGAAGGAGCAGTGTAGACGGACCCTTCTTGCGCAAAAGCCCCTTGCACAGAAATGGCGGCATATTAAGTATGTAAATGAAGTGCGGCGATATTCAGCACCATGCCTCATTTGCATATGTTCTTACACAAGACTGGCCAGTGTAGACGTAGCTCTGGAGTCCTCACTGCTGCTTCTCCAAGAGGGGCATTGACTATGGGGGCAGCTAACCCCCTTCCATGGATGTACAGGTTGCACCTCTGCAAACCAGCACTCTCTGGTCCAGCAGCATCTCTGATCTGGCAGGACCATGGATGCTCCTGGACCAGAAAGCCCAGCAGAACCAAAGGCAGGAGGCCCAGCCAGGGCGCAGGGCAACAGGGTCAGCAGCCCAACTGGGGGCAGTGCAGGGCTGAGACCAGAATTCCTGGCAATGCGGGGCCAGGGAGTGAACAGCAACAGCTAGGCGAGCACCCCAGCCAAACTGGGGAAGGGGCAGGGAGAAGAGGCAGGTTGCCTGCTGGGACAAGAGCTTGCCAGTAGCAGGCAGTGGGTTTGGGGGCCAGTGACGGGGCCTCCCCTAGTCTGGCAAATTCAGGACTGGTCAGATTCCAACAGTGCCGGATCAGGGAGGTCCAACCTGTAGGAAACGTCTATGGCTCTGACGCTGAGCTATGCCCCTGAGCATCCATAGTGTAGATATACCTCCACGTCCCGTTGAAAGGCAGGGGCAACCTTGTGTCCATGCGCGGAGCCGTGCAGTGAATCCTCCAGTGAGCTGAGTGCAGAATGCCAGTGGGCCCCAGTGCCAAGTCAGCCGTAGGGGGCCAAGGCAGCTTGAGAGTATCATTCCCATTTTACAGCTTGGGAAACTGAGGCATGGAGCAGGGCAGTGATCCGCCCAGGCTAATGGCAGAACTCCAGCGAGATGCTAGGTCGCCTAGACCCAGTCCGGATGCTACGGGCTGGGTGCCTTTCTGAAGGAGGTGAAATGCACCCGAAACAGCAACAGCCTCCCCGCTCCCCCCCCTCCCGCCAGAACACAGCCAAATGCAGGGGGTGACGTAAAAGGGAGCAGAGATGACGGAAGGCAAAAGATACAAGTGGAGAGGCAGAAGTGGACACTGCTCAGAGAACCCTGGATACCCCCACTCGAGGCAACATCAAGGCAGCTCGTGGGTGCTGGTGAATGGTGAGCGAGGATGACACAGGGCCCCTCCTGCCTTTTCCGGGTCTCACACGGGCTATGCTAGCCAGTAGCAGGTGGCAGCAGCTCTGCAAAGGAGCTGCAGCAAGGCAAGTGTTCATCCGACCCACGTGCGCCAACCCGGCATAAACAGGCCGTGCTGTCACCCTGGGTCACCCCCTCCTGGGCCTGGCTACTGAGGCTCAGCCGTGCTGCTCGGAGCACCCTGGCTCCTGCCTGGTGCACGTGGCAGAGAGCACCGTGCGTGTAGCAGCCTGGAACGGCCTCAGCTGGTTGGGCGAGCGAGGGTTGACCGGCACCGTGTTTCCTCTCCAGGGTTTGGAGGCCATCCCGGGGCTGGAGCGCAGGAAATCAGCCTAAATGACAGGATGCGCCGGGGGAAGGAATGTGCACAAATTGCAAAGCAAAAAAAATTACATCTTAAGAGGCCTCTCCATGGACACAGAGGAAACCCCCGATGGGCCGCGGCAGAATTGGGCGAGCGAGGGTTGACCGGCACCGTGTTTCCTCTCCAGGGTTTGGAGGCCATCCCGGGGCTGGAGCGCAGGAAATCAGCCTAAATGACAGGATGCGCCGGGGGAAGGAATGTGCACAAATTGCAAAGCAAAAAAAATTACATCTTAAGAGGCCTCTCCATGGACACAGAGGAAACCCCCGATGGGCCGCGGCAGAAAACTTCCACAGCTCCGCAGCAATTACAGGCCGCAAGCACGTCAGCCCGGG